TGCATGCTAGGAAAGTGCTTTTTCACCAAGCTATCTCCCTCCCTTCCCTCAGCTCTATTTGAAGAGCTTTATTTTATTTATGTATTTTTATGTGGTGCTGAAGATCAAACCCAGTGTCTCACACGTTAGGCAAGCACTTTACTACTATCTCCCCAGCCCTTCTTCAGCCCTTGTTTATATTTTATTCAGAGATGGTCTTGCTGAGTTGCTTAGGGCCTCAATAAGTTGCCGTTGCTGGTTTGAACTTGCAAATCCTCTGCCTCAGCCTTCTAAGCTGCTGGATTATAGGAGTGTACCACTGGGCCCAGCCCTTTTTCTCTTCCTTTTCTTTTTTTTTTTTTTTGTGGTTTGTGTTGCTGGGGATCAAACCCAGGGCTTTGCCATATGCTAGGCAAGTATTTAACAACTAAGCTACAGCCCCTAACCCTTCCATTTTCTATGTATTATCAAAGTTTTTTTTTTTTTTTTTTTTAAAGAGAAAGAGAATTTTTAAATATTTATTTATTTTTTTGGTTTTCGACGGACACAACATCTTTGTATGTGGTGCTGAGGATCGAACCCGGGCTGCACGCATGCCAGGTGAGCACGCTACCGCTTGAGCCACATCCCCAGCCCTTATTTTTAAATTTAGGAATTTGGCCTTTAGTGGGCATAGAGTAGTAAAGTGTAATAATTGGGAAAATTCTTTATGAGAGACTTGGTTGAAGTGAAATACTCACTGGAATCAGGAGTCCGAAGCCAGTTTTGATCACCTAACCCTACATGTTCTCCTTCCCTTGCATATCAGGCTATTCATTCTGTTTTCCTTTTCAACAATTTAGGGTAAATTGGTAATACTGTTCTATCTAAAACCCTTCTCAGCAGTTTCTCCTTTCTGTCTCTTTCTGTCTGAGGTCAGCCACATACCTACTCTCTAGAAACCTTATTGTCTTTTTTTTTTTTTTTTTTTTTGCTGGTAATTGAACACAGGGCCTTGTGCATGCCAGACAGGCACTCTACCAACTAAGCTATATCCCCAGCCCATAGAAACCTTACTGTCTTATTGTGGTCAAGTCCAATGATAGCTTTTTATTGTAAATAGGTACTTATGCTCAAAGAGACTAGATGAGGAGATAAGGAATTTTTTTACTTAATAGCTAATGATTTTGGGGTTACTGGGTTTCAGGGAGGGTCTGGGAACCCGGGAACCTTTAAGAATTCTGTTAATTTTCTCTTTTTTGAAATGGGGTCTCTCCATGCTGCCCTGGCTGGGCTCAAGTGATTTTTTTTTTTTTTTTAAAGAGAGAGAGAATTAATTTTTTTAATATTTATTTTTCAGTTTTCGGTTGACATCTTTATTTTATTTTTATGTGGTGCTGAGGATCGAACCCAGCGTCCCGCGCATTCCAGGCGAGCGTGTTACTGCGTGAGCCACATCTCTAGCCCTCAAGTGATTTTTCATGTATTAGCCCCTCTAAGGCTTCTGAGTAGCTGAGACTGAAGATTGAAGGACTCTTTACCCCAATTTTTTAGAATTTGAATGTCAATGGGGCCGGATAAATCTTCCTAGAGAGAAGAATTCCCAGCATTGGTACATTTGGATAACCATGATTCCTCTGTAGTAGTGATAAAACACATTGATGTGACTTTGTTTGTGTAGCAGAATATTAAAATATGGTAGGCATAATGGTACCCCACAGAAAATGAGCCATAAAAGGGCCTTTTAGAATCAGGATTTTTTTCCCCCTGTGGCACTTGAGATTGAACCCAGGGGCCCTATGGCACCTAGGTGCATCCCCAGGCCTTTTTACTGTTTTGATACAGGATCATGCTAAATTGGTCTTGAACTTATAGTCCTCCTATCTCAGCCTCCCATGTTGCTGGGGTTACAGATATGTGCCACCATTCCTGGCTGTGGCTCATTTGTTTTAGATTACATAAATGGAGAATTTTAAAGACTATAAGACCGTCTTTTTTTGGGGGGGGTTCTGTAGGTAAGGGTACTGGGAATTGAACCCAGAAGGGCTTTAAACTGAGCTGCATCCCCAGGTGTTTTTATTTTTATTTGGCGACAGGTCTCACAGCCCAGGCTGTCCTTGAATTTAAAATCATTCAGTCTCAACCTCCCCAGTTGTTGGGATTATAGGCATGTGCCACTGTACTGTCCTACAAGACCTTCTTGATTGTACTACCCTTTAATAGGTGGAGTAGTACTCAGCATTGGGCTTTCAGACTCAAAATGGTATGTAATCAAAAAGGCCTTGCAGTCTTTGAAAATCTCCATGTGGAGCTCTATGGAACATTGAAGTGGTTCACAAGTAAAGTGAATGAATCATTCTCTTATTTACTCTAATTTCCTTTCTCCTTCTATCCTTGTGCTCTCTTCCTCTTTGTCAGAGTACAACCTATTCCCTTTCTCTTTTCCTCCATAGGCCAGTCTTCAAGCCCCTACTGCACCACCCAGTTTAAAATCTTTTTATCATGGCAGTGTTGGCATCCATACAGGGCATTGGGTACTCACAGCAGGTTTCTGTTCTGTTTTTTATTTATAAGTGTTATGTTTATACATGTAAAGACTTTATTGGAAACTATCCATAAGTAGTATTAAGAGGGAAATGATCTGGCAACCTACCCATGTGCTATTTTTATAGTCTTATTTTAGCTAATCATTTTTTCTTTTTTTTTCTGTATAATAACATTTTTAAGTTTTTGAAAATAATTACCTATTTATCTTTTTTTTCTTTTGGAGGATACCGGGGATTGAACTCAGGGGCACTTGACCACTGAGCCACATCCCCAGCCCTTTTCTATTTTCATATTGAGACAGGGTCTCACTAAGTTGCTTAACAAGCCTCACTTTTGCTGAGTCTAGCTTTGAACTCACAATTCTCCTGCCCCAGTCTCCTGACTTTCTGAGATTACAGGCTGAGCCACCATGCCTTATTTTTAAGATGGAATGTTATTGTGTTGTCCAGGCTGATCTGAAACTCCTGGTCTTAGTGATCCTTCTGTTTCAGCTTCCCAAGTGCTGAAACAAACAGGCACATTCGACTGCATTTAGCTTATTATTTAAATTTTAATATTAAATATTAATCTTAGTGTACTACTCATTATTTTCTTCAGAGAAATTTTCTAGTTTCAGAACCAAGATGTTTATAAGTCAGGGTATACATTAGCACCATTAAGACTAGCTAGACCCAAGGAGGAGATATGGAAGTGGTACCTCTATTTTTCCTTACACTAATTTATTCTACCTAGCATTAACAGCCAAGTGAATATTTATAGCAATGGATGGTCCTATGGTCTTTTACCTTTTGTGCTGTGAAATGTCTTTTTTTCCTCACCTGCCTTATACACCTCCTTTTTTCATTTTATATGAAACAACCATATATTTGTTTTTTCCTGCAAAATAATGAAGTCTTTTTCTCCAGTTTAAAGTGGCTACCCGGGTGTAGACTCAAAAAGTAGAGATAAGTATGTACCTGAGGAATGCACAGAATCATGGAATCACTACTGGCACTTTTGAATATGAGTTGAGTGCATATGATCATATGATTCTGGGAGTTCTGGAACTCAAAATAGTCTTAACACCCACCCCCGTCCCCTGTGTTGGGGATTAAACTCAGGGTCTCAAGCATGCTAAGTACACATATCCTTCCACATATTTTTTAATTTTTAATTTTTTTTTTTTTTTTTTTGCAGTAATGGGGATTGAGCCTAGGGGTACTTTAACACTGAGCTATATCCCTACCTTTTTTTAAAATTTTATTTTTTTGTTGTTATTCATGGACAGAATGTCTTTATTTATTTTTATGTGGTGCTAAAAATAGCCCCACACATGATAGGCAAGCACTCTTCTACTCAGCCCTAGCCCTATATCCCTACCTTTTTTTTTTTTTTTTTAAGAGAGAGTGAGAGAGGAGAGAGAGAGAGAGAGAGAGAGAGAGAGAGAGAATTTTTTTTAATATTTATTTTTTTTTAGTTCTCGGCAGACACAACATCTTTGTTGGTATGTGGTGCTGAGGATCGAACCCGGGCCGCACGCATGCCAGGCGAGCGCGCTGCCGCTTGAGCCACATCCCCAGCCCTATCCCTACCTTTTTTATTTCTTATTTTGAGACAGGATCTTGCAAAGTTGCCACAGCTGGCCTCGAACTTGAAATCTTCCCTCAGCTTCCTCAGCCTCCTGAGGTGTGCACCACTAGGCCCTGCTAAGTAAAAATTTCCTTTGTGTATTGGTGATTGAATCCAAGGGCCCTTTACCACTGAGCTATATCTCAGTCTTTTTTTTATTTTGAGACAGGATCTTGCTAAATTGTTGAGAGTCTTACTAAATTGCTGAGACTGATCTCAAGCTTGTGATCTTCCTGCCTCAGCCTCCAGAGTCCCTGGATTATACTATGCCTAGCTAAAAATGTTTTTAAAGACATTTAAAACTGAGGTTGTGGCTCAGTGGTAGAGTGCTCGCCTTGCACGTATGAGACCCTGGCTTTGATACTCAACACTATATAAAGATAAATAAGTGAAATAAAGGTATTGTCCAACTACGACTAAAAAGTAAATATTAAAAAGGACAGGGCCAGAAAGATTATTATCATTATAAGTGTTTTGTGATCATTTGTACTTTTGATATATTACAATACCTCATGATGATCCTCAAAAAAATAAAAAAAGGTAAATGCAATATAATGGGGACCATATAGAGTTATTCATAGATGCATATATTTCTAAATCTGTCCCATATAGTAATGGCTTACATTGATACCTCTTTACCAATGATAATGTTGTGCTATTGTAAATGTCCACAGGTTGAATATCTCTTATCTGAAATGTTTGGGACTAGAATTATTTAGATTTCAGAGTTTTTAATATTTTGGATATATTTATATACTGGTTATACATAATCTGAAAATCTGAAATCCAAAATAATCTCTCTTGCATTTAGGAGAATTTTGGAGATTATTTTGCATCTTGGATTTTTAGATTAGGTATGTTCAACCTGTTATAGATTCTCTCACATCTACATTTTTCTGTAGGACCTAATTTTGGAAGTTATTCATAAGAAACCCCTTGTGAAGTCACACATACATTTTGTTATTGTTTATAGGCATCATTTGTTCTAATCACTTGTTGTCCTTTCCCTTGTACCATATCATAACATAGTATTCTAACTTGACTAACTTCACTAAGTTTATTTGGAATAGTCTAATTAATTTGGCAAACAATTAAGAATATAAATCTCCCGGCCAGGCGCGGTGGCTCATGCTGATAATCCCAGCGACTCGGGAGGCTAAGGCAGCCTCAGCAATGGCCAGGCACTAAGCAACTCAGTGAGACCCTGCCTCTAAATCAATACAAAAAAGGACTGGGGATGTGGCTTAGTGGTCGAGTGCCCCTGAGTTCAATCTCCGGTACCAAAAAAAAAAAAAAAAAAAGAATATAAATCTCCCTCATTCTGCTAGGTCTAAGCTTTCTGCTAGATTTAGGTTTAGTCCAGCTGTCATGTAAAGGAATTCTCTGTGACAGATGTCGGCAAACATTTTGTGTAAAGAGCAAGATAATATCTATTCAACTTTGCAATTGTAGCATGAAAGCATCCATGGACAATATGGACATGATTATGTTCTGATAAAACTTCATTTACAAAAACAGGCAATAGGTGAGATTTGGGCTACAATCCTGTGTGCTGTTCCTTATTATTTTACAGTATATATACTCAGACTTTTAGAACAGAATTATACAATAAAGCAAACATTCAGAGTAATTTTAGTCACATTCTAATACAATAACAATAATACATCTGTACTTGAACCAGCAGTGGAAAGTCTCTTATGATCTATACCATAAGTGCATGGTAGAGTGACACATAATCTTCATGGGCCATGCTATTACCATCCCCATAGAGGAATCTCCTTCCTGTGGGTCTTTGCATGGCTTAGAAGGGACATTGTCTTTGTTACTTATTCTTATCCTTACATTATCAGCCCCAGTATTTGCCTTTTTCACCAGTATGTTTTCTAACTTACTGATGCTAGTAAAGGAATCTAATGGGTTATAGTCACTGTCCCAACAGTCGAGGTATAGGGGTCCTGTGGTTTTGGTAATTTGCTATGTCAATCTCTAAATTTGGCTTTCAGGATTTGGAGGAATTAATCCTTCCATTGCTATCTCAAAAGGTGATCTGGACAGTGGAACAGAGACCTCTCAATCAGGTAAGTGATTGTTGAACATGAAGGTCGCGCAACTATTTTTCTTTGGCCTTTTTGTTGTATTTGTTAATAGGTTTCCCAATAATGAACTAACCTTGCATTTTGGAAGAAAATTTCTACTTTCCAAGGATTTTTAATTTATTTGTTAAATTTATTATTTTGAGTTTTGTTTTCTATTTTTTTAAATTAATATTTTCTTTCGAGGTTCAAAAGTGAGTTAGTTTGGGGGTAGCATGACAGTCTTTTGTCTGTTAATGTTAGGATCATGAGTGAAATTTTTTGTTGCTCTCTATTTAAGCATATCAGACATCTTGCATGCAGTTAAATGTGCTTTATTTACTTTTTGTGGTGCTGGGGATTGAACCCAGGGCCTTGTGCATGTGAGACAAGCACTCTACCAACTGAGCTATGTCCCCAGCCCTTAAATATGCTTTAATAACATGATTTTCAAATTTGTACATACTATCATATAACACTATGAATGTAAAAATCAATTTTGTTTTCTGATATTTGGAACCTTGTTTCAGTTATTACTTTTTTGTTTTTGTTTGTTTGCTATTCTGGGTCTCTCTAGGCAAGTACTTTACCACTCAGTTATACACCCAGCCTGCACTACTCTCCCCATCTTTTTTTTTTCTTTTTTGGGAACTAGAGATTGAACTCAGGCACTGGACCAGTGAGCTGCTTGGTTCCTCGCTGTTGCTAAGGCTGGCTTTGAACTTGTGATCCTCCTGTCTCAGCTTCCCAAGCTGTTGGGATTACAGGCATGTGCCACTGAGCCCAGCCTGCAGTACCCTTTTAATTGTGTGTAAATAGTGCTGTAGTGAACATCCTGTAGATAAATTGTGCATATCCATGTTTATATTGTAACATTGAATAAAACTTCCAGTTCCTCTAGTAGTATGAGCATTCCCATTTTTACACATCCTTACCAATATACTGTTTTAAGGTTTTTAATAAATCTGCCAATTGTACAGGTGAAAAAATGTTCTTTGAAAATTCAATATATATATTTAAAAAAATTTTTTTTTAGTTGTAGTTGGACACAATACCTTAATTTATTTATTTTTATGTGGTGCTGAGGATCAAACCCAGCGCCTCACATGTGCTAGGCAAGTGCTCTACTGCTGAGCCACAACTCCAGCCCTCAATATATGCCTTTGATTCCTAATGAGGTAGAGGAGATAAAAATCTTACTTGGGTCCTAATTTTTTAGTTTCTTTATCATACTTTTTTTAGATGGTACTGGGGATTGAACACAGAGCCTCCTACTTGCTAGGAAGTGCTCTACTACTGAGCTACATTCCTAACCCATTTTTAAAAATTTTTATTTTGAGACAAGGTCTTGCTCAGTTGTCCAGGCTAGTCTTGAACTTGTTATGTTCATCTCTCAGCCTCCTAAGTAAAAATTATAATTTCATATAGCTTAAATATCTTTTTTACCCATATTTTAAAAGTGATGCATGGTACTTATACAATGGGATTTGATGTTACATATTCATACACTCACACAGTGTAACAATATAATTTGGCCAATATAATTTCCCAGTATTTCCCATTTGCCTCTCCTCCTCCCTTCCCCATTCCCTCCAAATCTTTTTTTTTATAATGCATTCTTCTCTTCCATATTATGAAGATGAATACATTTTCCTATAGTTCATAATTCATTTATGTTTTACTTATTTTTTAATGAGTCTTTTCCAGTGTGGATCTCTTTGGTGTATGGCATGTAATTAATTTTCTAAATGTCCAGCACATTTAGCATTCAAAGAATAAGAGGGGTATCTCAGCAGGAGTTCCAGAATCTTTTTTTTTTTTTACGTACCTGGTGTTGAACTCAGGGGCACTCTACCACTGAGCCACATCCCAGCCCTATTTTGTATTTTATTTTTAGAGATAGTGTCTCACTGGAGTTGCTTAGTGCCTTGCCATTGGTGAGGCTGGCTTTGAACTTGTGATCCTTCTGTCTCAGCTTCCCAAGCCACTGGGATTATAGGCGTGTGCTACCACGCCCAGTGAGTTTCCAAATCTTTTTTCCAATATTTGACTCCTATCTCCCTCACCCTTACCTCACCCGCTATACTAGAGAGTGAACCTAGGGATACTCTACCATGAACCCCATCCCCAGCCCTCTTTATTTTTTGAGACAAGGTCTTGCTAAATTGCTGAGGCTGACCTTAAACTTGATCCTCCTTCTTCAGCCTCTATCACACCTGGCTCCAGAGCTCTGCCTTTTTTTTTTTTTTTTTTTTTTAATATTTGTTTTAGTTGGACACAGTACCTTTATTTTATTTCTTAAATTTGTTTTTTAGTTGTAGTTGGACACAATACCTTTATTTTATTCATTTATTTTTATGTGGTGCTGAAGATTAAACCCAGGGTCTTGCATGTGCGAGGTAAGCACTCTACTGCTAAGCCACAACCCCAGCCCCCTTTATTTTATTTTTATGTGGTGCTGAGGATAGAACCCAGGGCCTCACACCTGCTAGTTGAGCGCTCTACCACTGAGCCACAATCCCAGCCCCCAGAGCTCTGCTTTTAACATGAATAAATATTATCTCAGTCCCTCTTTTTTTAATATTTATTTTTTAGTTGTAGTTGGACACAATACCTTTATTTTATTTTATTTATTTTTATGTGGTGCTGAGGATTGAACCCAGGGCCTTGCATGTACTAGGCAAGCGCTCTACCGCTGAGCCACAACCCCAGCCCCTCAGTCCCTCTTTTCTGTAAGTGTCTTGTCAGTTTTGCTACCACTGGTTTGTGTTCTTTATGGCAGGAATTGGCAAACTTTTTCTATGTATAGCCTGATACTGAGTAGTTTAGGCTCTGGGGGCTATGTGGGTTCTGCCAGTGTATCAGGGAAAGCAGCTTTAGACCATGCATAAATGAATGTGACTGTTCCAACAACTATTTACAAAATATAGCTGGTAGCTGCATTTTTTCTGTGGGCTATAATTTGCCAATGCCTGCTTTTTATGTCATTTTACTGTTTTATTTTTGGTAGTACTGGGGATGAAACCCAGGGTTTAATGCATGCTAGGCTAGGCAAGTCTACCATTTACTGAGCTATTTGCGACATCCCCAGCATTCCATCCCCCTGCCACTTTTTTTTGTTATACTGGGGGTTGAACTAAGGTCTTCACACATGCTAGGCAACTGCTCTACCAATGAGCTACATTCCCAGCCCCCAGTCCCAGCCCTCAGCTCTTTTTAATTTTTATTTTGATTTAGGATTTTGCTAAATTGCCCAGGCTGGACTTGAACTTGTAATCCTCATTCCTTAGCCTCCCAAATGGCTGGGGATATAGGTGTGTGCCACCACAATGAATCTCCCTATAACCTTTTAGATTACTATTTTCACCTCTAGTCTTTGCTACTTATTACCTGTTTCCATATTTCACATTTCTGAAGTTTTGGAGAGCACAGGTGGTAACTAAACTGCATGCTTTGCATGTCATTTGTATCATGTGCTGGGATGTGCAAGTTGTGCTTGCCTGCCTGCCTCCCTGCTTCAGTATGACTAATTTCAAGTAGCTACATTGTTTTTGAGGGTCTGTTTTTTGCAATTCAGATTTCATTTCAAGAAACAGGCTGATTTATATCAATTTTAAAATGTCCAAAGAACTTCTTTTTAGTGTGGTATCATTTCTGTGATTCAGTTTAGCTTGTTTTTGATTCCATGTGCTTGTGGTCTTGCTTTCTACTATAGACTGGTTCCTCATAGTCTGTCTTCCTTTACCCCCTAGCTTCTGGAGGCTTAAGTGTTTTTTTTCAATTTGAATCTCAATTGAGCTTTTGTGATCTCTATAGACATGGCCTTCATTTTAGCTCATCTTTGTCTTCATAGACTATCTGTTTTAACTCTAGGGTGTTCAGTTGTCATTAAAGTGAGAATGTCTGATTCCTTTTGAGTTCTTAAGTTTTCTGAGATTGTAGGGTTGCAATTTGACACATCCAGGGCATTTCTTCCTATTGATTGCTAAATGTGACCATCTTTTTTTCTTTATATATAATTCAAAATTGCTTTAGCCTAACATAATCCAGTTACTATGAATATTTCTAGTATCATTTAATTGCTCTAAAAATAGACCTCAGCTCAGTCATAGAGCATCTAGAAATATCATACCTGTCCACAAGTTCATAGTCAGTTCCCCAACTGTATTCCTCCTGAGAGGCTCTTTTGCTGCTGCTTCTTTTTTTTTTAATATTTATTTTTTAGTTGTAGGACATAATAAATCTTTTTTTTTAAATATTTATTTTTTAGTTTTAGGTGGACACAATATCTTTATTTATTGCTGAGAATTGAACCCAGTGCCTCATGCATGCTAGGCCAGCATGCTACCACTTGAACCACATCCCCAGCCCTGGACATAATATCTTTATTTCATTGTTATGTGGTGGTGAGGTTTGAACCCAGTGCCTCAAGTGTACTTGGCGAGTGCTCTAACACTGAGCCACAACCCCAGCCCCTCTTTTGCTTCTTAATATTGGTATTAGTTGGGTACTTTTCCTTATTATTATTATTATTATTATTATCATTATTTTGGCGTTAACTGGGAATTGAATCCAGGGGTGCTCTACCACTGAGCTATATTCAGTGTAGTTCATAAAATAAAACTCTTTAGATTTTTTATTTTGAGGCAGCATCTTGCTAAGTTGCTAGGGCCTTACTAAGTTAGTGTGGCTGAGTTCAAACTTGTGATGCTCCTGTCTTAGCCTCCTAAATTGCTGGGGTTATAGATGTGTGCTACCATGCTTGGCTAGATTAGGCACTTCTGATTGCTAGAAGTAAAATCGGTGAGCTCCCATAATGATAGGCAGTCCACCTGTAGAGAGATAATGCTGACTGAGATCACCTGCAGTTACAAATGTAGGAGACATTAAGATGATTAAGCCTCTTAGTGGTAATAACTGGGTTTAGAGAAGCACCAGGAAACAGCAGGAGTTGCTACATCTTTACATTGGAGTTGTGTCATTCATATCACTGAACTTGTCTGTCTCTCTGATTATCTTTTGTATCTTATAATTTGTCCTTTTAGGTGTTGGCCTGTCTGTCCACTATGGTTTTTCTCTACTTCATGTTTTTAGCTCATACATAGGTTTTGCTTCTTTTCTTTTTTTGGCAGCAGGACCAGGAATTGAACCCAGGGGCACCCTAACCACCGAGCCTCTTCTCTAGCCCTTTTTATTTTTTTATTTTCAGACAGGATCTCACTAAATTGCTTAGGGCCTCGGTAAGCTGTTAAGGCTGGCTTTAAACTCGCAATACTCCTGGCTCAGCCTCCCAAGCTGCTGGGATTGATTATAGGCATGCGCCACAGCACCTGGCTAGGTTTTGCTTTCTTATGCCACCTTCCTTTGCTGCTTGTGGCCCTCATGGCCTCACCTGTGTGTTGTGTGCTGGCTTCCTGCATATTCTTTCAGTTTTAGTTCCTTTTACTGTGATAACTTTTGACAGCCAGATTCTAGTTCCTGAGAACACAATTTTACTAGGTCTGTCCTTATCCATTTTAGTTAGTAACATACAACAGTGTTTTGTGTTCTTCAGTTAAGTCACTTGTCTCTGCTGCTTTTACTCTGCTTGTTTCTCAGCTTCTAACATAGCCATTAACATCTAACTTCTTCATCCTTTGTTTCAGGGGTTGCAATTGCAAATGCCTGCAGGAACCACATGGGGTAAATGTGTGAGATGGTTCTGGTATTCATTCTCCTTTTTCTTGAAGCACTATCTTTTGTTATTTTTTTTTTTTTTCATTTTCTTTTTTATCTACCTTTGATAGAGATGTTAGAAGAAAGTTTATTGTGAAATATAACAAATGTGATGGTAAGGGCAACTTATGCTTCTAAGAGGATGGGGAGTGTTTGGGATTGTGGTTATTAACTGGAACATTCACCATTCATCTAAAGGGGGGGGACGGTTTGTTGATACTTGGGCCTAGGGATGCCAGGATTTCTGGCTCTTTATAAGAACAATCTTGGGCTGGGGATGTGGCTCAAGCGGTAGTGTGCTCGCCTGGCATGCGCAGGGCGCTGGGTTCGATCCTCAGCACCACATAAAAATAAAATAAAGATGTTGTATCCACCGAAAACTAAAAAATAAATATTAAAAAATTCTCTCTCTCTCTTTAATAAATAAATAAATGTAACTTAAATAGCATTAATAAAAAAGAACAATCTGATTGGCTTCAATTCTTTTTTTTAAATGCGTCAGTCCGATAGACTATTTTTATAAATACTTCTATAATTTTATGAATAGTTTTCTGCTTTTTCACAATTTTGGCTTATTGTAATGTTACCATTTCACGCTATTTGTTCAACTCAGTTTGGGGCTTGGGCTTAGCAGTTTTCTTTGGAAGTGTTTGGAATTGGACCACAGTTTATTTGAATTCAGCTATATAAATTAGAATGAAATAGATTGGGAAAGAATAGATTAAGATAAGTTTCTAGGAATAAACTAACCTCCAACTTGCAAAGGGTAAGTATTTTGTGAGATTTTTGTCTCAGCCATTTGTGTCATCTTTAGTCTAGTGTACTTTTTTTTTTTTTTTGGTGAGAGTGATTGAACCTGAACCTGGAGCCCTTAACCACTGAGCCACATCCCCAGACCTTATTTGATTTGGTGCTCTATAAAAGAACATATTTTCTATGGATGGTTTTGTATTTGATGGGAAATTTGTACAATTCTGTTTTCCTCAGAATAGGTAGGTTGAGGGAATGTGTGGCAGATACCATGACTGATCTGACAGGTATATTTTAGTATGTGGCTGCTAGGCAGATAAATATTTTTAGCCTAAAACACTTTACAATTTTCATGTATAGATTCCCTAGTGCATTCAGTTTTGCTGCTCTAAATAGTAATAACACAAATTGCCATCTAGCACTTGTGTCCCAAAATGATGGTATGGGATAGATTCAAAAGTATGTGACCCAGGTGGGCATTGTGGCTCACACCTGTAATCCCAGTGATTCTGGAGGCTGAGGCCAAAGGATTGCAAGTTCAAGGACAGCACCAGCAACTTAGTGAGACCCTATCTCAAAATAAAAAAGAAAAAGCTCTGGGGAATGTAGCTCAATGATAAAGCACCCCTGGGTTCAATCTCCATTACAAAAAAAAAAAAAAAAAAAGTGAACATGACCCAAATTGATAGAACAAAGTAGAATGTTGGTTGCCAGGGACTGGGGTAAGGAGGAAATAGAGAATTGTTTACTGGGAATAGAGTCAGTTTTGTTGGAGGAAAACATTTCTGGAGATTAGTTGCACAACAATGTGAATGTAGTACTGAACTATAATACCTAAAATGTTTAAGGTGACAAAAAATATAGGTAGAATATTACACTATATAGACACCTATCAGAATATATTAAATATACACAACTATCAGAATATATTAAAAATTTAGCAAGTCATAGCATAGGCTTGTTCCATGTTTGTCTTGATTTGGCACCCCACAAAAGAAAACTGTTTCTCTGGCTTTGAAATTGAACTTTGTTCAATTCTGGTTTTCTTCAAAAAACATCTTCAAACAAAAAAGGTGCCTAACTAATTCTCTATGTGAGGGTTCAAAAAAACTGGCATATGAGCCAAATTTGGCCCACCAAAATTTTTGTATAGCCTATGAGCTGAGAATGGTGTTTATGTTTTTTAATGGTTGAAGAAAATCAAAAGGATTATGATATTTCATGCACATTGAAATGATGATAAATTTATTAAATAAACACAGTGACAACTTCTAATTTTTGTATATGTAACTTTTATGCTACTGTAGCAGAGTAGACTAATTGGGACAGAGACTATATGGTCTGCAAAAGTGAAAAATATTTACTTGCCCATTGACAACAAATTGCAAATGAGCCTTTTGGCACAGCTGCCAGGTCCCTGACAAAATTAGCTTTAGTGGTTTTAAATGCCTAATTACCACTTTGTCTTAGACTACTAGGGGCTATTGTCATGTGCCAGTGTGGGGGATTCTCATTTCCTTACTTCCTACTGTGACACTTCAACCAGTTGCAGAAAACACATACTCTTGGTAAGCTTCAGTTGTGGCTGAAATTCTGTTAGCAGTTTCTGGTATAATGGTCACCTGAATTGTCAAGAAATAAGAATACTCTAAAGCCAGCCAAACAATTTTGAAATCCCAGAACTAGGCATGGCCAGCCCTGAGGTAAACAAGGATCTCTTCAAATAGGAAAACTGTCTATTGAAATCAAGATTCAGTTTCCTTTCTGAGTTTGAAAGTGTTTTCAAGAAAGAACTGGGTATGGCAGTAGCAAGAGTTTATATCATGCATATAATACACCCTTAGCATTTATCTATATATCTATGTATCTATTTTTGTGGTACTGGGGATTGGATCCAGGGTATACTGAACTACATCTCCAGCCCTTTTTATTTTTATTTTGAGACAGGGTCTTGGTAAATTGCTGTGGCTGGCCTCAAGCTTGTGACCCTTGTGCTTCAGCCTAATGAGTAGCTAGCATTACAGGCGTGTGCCAGACACTCCTAAGGAGCTATTCTTTTTTTTCTTTTAATTTATTTTTTAGCTGGACACAATATCTTTATTTATTTATTTTTATGTGGTGCTGAGAATCGAACCCAGGGCCTCACATGTGCTAGGCGAGTGCTCTACCGCTGAGCCACAATTCCAGCCCAGGAGCTATTCTTTAAGAAAGAAGTCCAAGGGAATATTAAGTTTTTGTTGTATGGCATTATATCAGTTTAATTAGAATACAGAAAGTTGCAGTCCTTTCCATTTGATAAGATTTAGAAAAACAGATTGTGGTACTGGGAATAATTTGCTTCAGGTACTTTTCCCCCTATACTCACAATTTAAGTAATTGTTATAAACTTTTTGAGTGCATTTTCCTAATAAAGATTAAAATGTTGAAATATGGGTTTGGGGATATAGCTCAGTGGTAAGAGTAATTAATTGCCTAAGAAATAATAAGGCTTTGGGTTTCATCTCTACCAACTCCTTACCCCCTTCTCTAAAAGCAAAGTATGTACATCATAATGTTCATGTTGGTTATTCTATAGAGGTTTCCATAAGTAATATAATTTCCTTTGGGGTGCTTTAATTAAAAGTAAAAGTATTTTTGGCTTAAAATGTACTATTTCAGGGCTGGGGCTGTAGCTCAGTGGCAGAGCACTCGCCTCACATGTGGGAAACACTGGGAGATCCTCAGCACCACATAAAAATAAAGGTTATTGTGTCCACCTACAACTAAAACAAATATTTTTTTAAAAATGTACTGTTTCAGCTGGATACAGTGGCCCATGCTTGTAATCTCAGCTCAATTTTTGTTGTATGATACCATACATATCATATGGAGGAGGAGGCAGGAGGATTGGAAGATTGAGGGCAGACTCAGCAATTTACAGAGTGCTTGTAAATATTAAAAACAAAGTGCTGGAGGAATGCAGCTCAGTGGGAGTTCACTCCTGGTTCAGTCCCCCAATACCACAGAAAATAAATAAACAAATAAACATCAACAAAATAGCTGGGTGGTTAGAAATTGAGACTAGTTCTTATGTTCAAGATAGAGAAGTTTCTCATAGGCGTCGAGGGCAAGCAGGCTTATTAAAATAGAAAGCACTTTGAAAACATTTAAATGTCTGTGTAAAGATTGCTGAAAATAGGGGACTCAGTATATAGCTCGGTTGGCAGAGTGCTCCTGGGTTTGATCCCCAGCACCCCCCCCACACACACACACAAAACAAACAAACAAAAAAACCGAATACTGAAAATAATTGGATATTAAATATATCAAATCCTTTGCTAATACTAAAGAAGTATCCCTAAAATTAAAAAATTGATTGATGAATGTCATAACAAAATTCAATTGAGTTTAACATTTAAATGTTTGACTTGGTATGTAGTTTGAGAAAGGAATTCGTAACTCTAAGACCAAATCAATATATTTGTTTTATATTCTTCTAAAGTGGCTTTCTCTCCCTTTTTTTTGGGGGGGGGGGCGGGGATAGGCCCGGGATGTTGAGGATTGAACCTAGGGCTTTGGGCATGTCAAGCACTTGTTCTACTGTTGAGCTATACATGTACATCATAATGTTGGTTATTCTAGCGCCCCCACAATCTTTTAATTCTTCATGTTATTTATTTATTTATTTTAGTGATACTGGAGATTAAACCCAGTGCTTCCTGCATGCTAGGCAAGTGTTGCACCACTGATCACTGCCCCAGACACCCTTTTTAAAATTTTATTCTGAGGCAGAGTTTTGTTCAGTTGCTAAGGCTTTCCTGGAACTTCTGTTCATCTTCTTCAGCCTCCCAAACAACTGGTATTATGGGCCACTAGCTGGGATTATTAAAACTCCCAGTTTTAATCTGATTTTTTTTAAATTATGAAAGGATTTACTTTTTCTTTATCCCAATTGGTTAAATATGTGTTCAATTTGTGAGTGAACCCATCCTTTGCTTTTGGATTATTTTTCTATTTTCAGAAATAGAAGCCATAAGATTTAAAAAATTCGGCTAAAAAGAACAACTATACTTCCTGTAAAAAGTCACTAGAAATGAAGTCAAAAGATAAGAAATTGGGAAAAAATATTTATAACACTACCAAGTAAATGTTAATCCTCATTAATATATAAAAATCTTCTAAAACATAAAGTCAGGAAACTCTAGTTAAAAATGAGTCATGGGGACTTGGGTTGTGGCTCAAGGGGTAGAGTGCTTTGTGGCTCAAGGGGTAGAGTGCTTACCTAGCATGCGTGAGGCACTAGGTTCGATCCTTAGCACCACATAAAAGTAAGATTAAGATAAAGAGGGGCTGGGGATGTGGCTCAAGCAGTAGAGCGCTAGCCTGGCATGCGTGCGGCCCGGGTTCGATCCTCAGCACCACATACAAACAAAGATGTTGTGCCCGCTGAAAACTAAAAAATAAATATTAATTCTCTCTCTCTCTCTCTCTCTCTCTCTTAAAAAAAAAAGATAAAGATATTGTGTCCACCTAAAACTAAAAAAGTAAATATAAGGGAAAAAAATGAGTCATGGCATGAATAG